CGAGGTTGGCTTTGCAGGGCGAAGTATACTACCAGCCTCAAGTGGTTTGGCTAACCGTTGACTTACAGAACGTAAACGCCCAACGTTCCTTCGTAATTTCGTCCTCTGATCTTTCCACTGGTCTTCAGCACTCAGACTTTCACCTGCTGGGACATCAGTGTCCGGTGGACACAACAAAGGTAAACAATTTAGGCCAGGTGCAACTGGGCTTCTCACAACGGTTGGACTTGGTGTCAGTGAGTTTGCACGGGTAGAGAAGGACGACTGAGCCGAAATCGGAAGGCTCTTCGTGCTAGGTTGTTGGGCCAAACACACGGAGCGGTTCGCAACGAAACGCTGAGGACTACACGTCGGCTTTACTCTTTCTGGCTGTATCTGATTTCGGCAATTTTCACATATAGTTTGGACGAAATCGTGTTGGATCTCGCGAAGACGATGAAAATGCTCAACTGATAATCCAACACATGAAATATGGCAAAATGAAATGGCAAAATGCACACGTGAGGGCATTTGCACGGTATCCGACTAGTTTGGAGCAAGTACCACAGGATGACTGCTTCGGCATTGCGAAAAATCCGAAAACAAGATGGCGGCCAATTGACGAAGAAAGTGGCGATAGCAAGATCGCCGAAACCAAGCGATGAAATACAAGTATTTCTGGTCGGAAATTTCAGAATCGGAAATGAAACTGAATTGTATCTCAAGTTCCACGAAATACTTCCAATGAACGCAGAAAGTTAACACAAAGTGGTCTTGTCAACACAGCTGTGGGCGGTTTGTTCGTAGACCTCTTGAAAGGTTTGCTTCAGTTGACAGTCTTGGCCTTTTTAACGAAGTGCACGGTATCTGGCGGTGCGAAACCATTCCGTTCGACTATGGTAGTGTCGTGTTTTAGGGTGAGAAGCCGTTTGCATTCGCTTACAAGAGCCTTCAGTGTCAGATCAGGACCCTGATCCAGCTTAGGTAAAAACCGCTTGCGGATCTCAGTATTGCTGAGGGACTGTAGAGCACTGACGAAAATGAGACACTTAAACTGATCGTCCTTTAAAGAGCATCGTTTGGAACGCTCACACACGGTTAATCATGTCTGTTAGGGCCCCAAAGTCGTCTGATTCCCGTTTGACAATTTTCAGTCATTGATAGCGAATACTAAACAAGAATATTGACTCTCCAAAAATTTCCTTCAGCTGCGACACTACTTCGTCAAACCACAAATCCTTCGGATGTTTGGACAGAATGTGGTCTATCAACCTTGAATGTTCACTTGTTCCGATCTTGCGGAGTACCAATCGCACCTTCCAGGAGTCGTCCTGACGAGTGAAGTCCGTCTGGAACATGTCTTCCCAGCGCTTGAACCATGCTTCGAATGTGCATCCAGAATCTGCGTCATGTTTGAATTCAGTGATTGCATTCATGAGAAAATCAACAGAACTCGCCTGCGTGTCCCGCGTCGCTGCTCCTGTTGTCTGCAAACTCTGCACTGTCAGATTTTCGACCATTTCCATTTGTGCCTCTATTCGAGCTTGCTGTTGAAAAAACAGCGTTTGAAAATGTTCAGCAGAAAAATTCATTTATTTCCAATTTTCTCTGTCGCCATTTGTTTTAATCTTCTTACTAGATCCGATACCGAAATTGTCACTTTACTGCTCCACAAAACTTCTATCCCAACCGAAGGCAAAAGCAGAACACCAATGACCTTGATAAAATAACCTATAACCTATACAACTACTGTGAACCTCTTAGAGGTCTCTTACTAACTTTCCATTTCTGGAATTGGGTGGTCAACTACCAAGGTCAGTGGTTCCCTATAGCTTTGGCCGAGATGTCAGGTGGTTGGTAGTCACGTGCAGAACTTAGAACATTTCAGAACGTTCGAAATCGATGCGATAATCGTTATTAATCGATTAATCGCTAAAATAGTGGATTTCCTAGACAATTCTTACTTTCTCCCGGTCATGCGTGTTCCACGAAACCGAACTATGCACAGTCGGATATTAATCGGAAACCAGTTCAACAGTGTGGCCTCGGTCTTGTTGCTTAGCACTACACCAATGTCAGCCAAACTTGCCTTAGCTACTTCTGTGTCACCAGATAGACGCAGGTGAAATTTGCTTCCGTGGTCGTTAAGAGATCTCAGCTCAGTCACATTACTGAGATCTTGCATACGCATTTCGTAAAGTTAGCAAACATCGATGGTGAGGGATTCTAAAGTGCGCGCAAAACCAGCCTGCTGCCCGATCTGCATAAGTGTACGCACATTAAAGCAGGCCAGATGGAACGAGGACCGTGGCTGAATGAGGGCCATTGGACGAGCTCTGTGAGCGTAGACGAAATCGTCGGAAGTAGAATAGTGGAAACAGGAATCGGCTGGCAACGGATAATAGGTGACGCGTGAATAAGGTGAGCAAATGGCAGAAGCTCGGCAGCTAAGCGAGATATACCTGATGAACAATCCAGCGTATCGCTTGTGCCTTTTTAGTACGTGGCTTACGTAATCTCATTCTGTTTGTTCTCGTTGCTCTGAATGCGGTGTTTCGTAACAGTTTTCAAAAGTCACAGCACACTTCACATAGGGCAATTTGCCATTCCACCTTAACCTTCATTTCGGTTACCCCACCGACTCGACGCACCCTGGTGTCGGCCATGCTAATCCCTTAAATCTTTTCCTATCTCTCGATATTCGTACATGGTTGGAATAATCACTAAAGAAACGCCATCGCTCTATTTCGGCACAGAAAATAGTGAAACCACTGGCCTCAGTAAGCACACGGTTTGAACGCTATCGTCGCTGCACCAATCGTTCCACGGTCATCCCTCTGCACTGTATTGCAGCGGTTGCTGCACATAGCGACATTTGCTCGTCTTCATCAGAAATGCGACAGGCATAGATGTATAGAACTGTGCTCATTTTTCACTGATCTCATTTTCGACTTTTCGAATCCGCGTATCCTAACCCTCTTTTACCGTAGCGTGCATCCGTTCGAATGAGACGTGTACAGCACTGACAAAGGACTCGAAAAGGGGTAGGCGGAGACGTGTATTAGCGAGTTGTCGCAGCAATCAGAGTTAGTGCCACTGACGAACAGAAAAGAAACATGCATAGTGTGACAAGTTTATCGACCCGAGGTCAAGCAACATAGAGACAAAGTACAATGGTAGCAAAAGTGAGACTAATATTTGTCCGAATAGATTGCACTTTTTAAGTTCGATATTTATTCTACCAAATTCTTATTGTGTAGGACCTAGAGAAGATATGACAGAGCGTTAGATGAATTGGCGGAGTCGAGTGTGTCCGCGGAGTTTCGTTGCATTACCATTTTTATTCAGCTACTTGAAGAATGTTTCACGGCCTACAATTGCAAACTGACGTAAAGTGGCCATAAATATTGGAAATTCCTTAACACACTTTACAACAGGACTGTGCTTGCAAACTCCTAACGGACCACTTCCATTAAACCATTCATTGGTTGAAACATCCGTTTGTCAACGCGTTGTTTTCCACCTGTTGTCAATACTTGTGGACATGGTATTTTTACGTTGGCAGCATGCGCTCAGATCGTAACCAATCCGTAATTGAAGCTTTGAGCACGGTCAGCGAGACTGTGCTACCATTCTTTTCCTTGTTTTTTTGGACAGTCATAGAATGTCACGCGAGTTATAGACTCGCAAACTAGTCTAATACAAGCCGCGCGAGGTTACTTCAGCTAATTGATCCAAGTCTACAGAATAATATGCTCGGTCGTACTCATCGAACATAATGGCGATTTTTGCCGTGCTTATGTTTTTTCTGTCTATACGTCCATTAATCCAGTTTCATTTGGTGTTGTTTTTGCATTGTAAGCTTCACTGGCTACTTTTCTTTGAAAATTTTTTCAACTGATATATTTGCAGCATTTTGACTTATCATTAGCGATCACAGAAAAAAAACGCTTTTTTGCCCTAGTCTGAGTTTCTACCTCTCATCCTGCATGTTCTTAATGGGCGATAGCCAACTGTTCTTGATGTTATATTGTTAACAATGTGTAGGCACATTGACTCTGAATGTTTGCTTAGGGCATTAAGGTTTTCCAGTAAGTCACCTCTTCCTGTTATTATTCTTCCTCCCGTGTGTCGTGGTTGTACGGCGGCGAAGCATCAGTTGAAATGGCTGATGTACTGCTGTTGATGATGTTGCCAGCAAACTGTTTGTTTTCGTTTTTGCACTGCTTCCCATGGTTACTGTCCGGCAGAAATTAAGAATTTCCCGGAAAATCCACTAGTTCAGCGCTACTCGATTGTTAACGATTATCGCATCGATTTCGGATGTTCTGGTATGTTCTAAAGCCAGCACGTGGCTAACAACCTTCCTGAAGATGGGGCAAATCTATGGGGAACAACTAACCTTGGCATCTGGCCTTCTAATTCCAGAAGTCGAAGGTCATGAAGCGACCTATAAATATGACCATGGTCCGCCACCTATTGTTTGACTGCGGTCAACACGTTATTTTGGGCAGTCGTTCTGACCATTTCCTTTGTTTGGGTTTGTGGTCGTGCGGAATAGATTAAGTGCCAGTTTCGGAATTGCAGCAAGTGAGTGGATTTAACAGTTAGGGAATCATTACGATGAACGTGCACTCCCATCTATTTCATCTGTGATTTCCCATCACTGTTTAGCTGCGCTAAGTGCCCATTCCTGGCGTTTTACGTCGAACTTTGTACCGTACTACACCAACCATGTGCTACCGCACTCCCAGCTTCCCTAAGATCATTTCCTTTTTCTTTCTTTTCTCTCAATTTTGTTCTTCTGGAAAGGTAACTGACTCTCGGTTCATTGGTTTATTTTTTATCTGAATCAACAAGTGTCAATAAACACTCTGGCACTCCTCAGTGAAGTGCGATAGGTTTAGCAGAGTAGTGGCCTACGATCTTTTTGTGAGTGAATTTCTCATTGTCTTTCCTTGAAGCTTACTTATTGATGATTCTAGTCGTCTGCTTCACTCTGCTTCATTATTGTCATCTAGCTCCGACGGATCATGATTTCTCGGATGGCTCGCCCAGAAGAGGTGCTAGTGGTTGAGAATGAGCACGGCGAGGTTGTGCGAGAGTTCATGAAGGATACGGACAGTTTAAACCTGTATAAGAGCATGAGAGAAACCCTTGTGTATTTGACACATTTGGATTACACAGTGAGTTGGTGATTTGTTAGCTACCTCTCCCACATGATGATTCCCCTTAACCACCACTACACGAACACATTTGTTTCAGTGCGTTGGTCTATTGGCCTCCGTTGATTTCTAACTTTGATCCGTATCGCGGCATTCTTCGCATTTGTTATTGTCTTGGTGTATCCTCGCAGTTTCGTTGTCGCCAGCGATGAGCATGAAACTTACTCTCTATTTTTCTCCAATCGCGACAGATGTCAATCTTATTTGGTATTTTCCTGGCACTGGCTTTAATTCCTGTTTACTTGAAGATTTTCACTGAGTTTCGCGCCATTGCGTTGCGCTGCCCAGATCAATGAGACTCACCTGAAATTTAGTATTGGTAACAATATAACCGTGTTGTAGTTATTCGAGATTATTGTAGGAGTCTAAGTCTGTTAATAGTCGAATGTGAGACGTGAGCCGTACGCTAGTACTTTGCAGGCTATAGGATGTGCTTCGCAGAGCTACTAACTCGATCCTTCTCAGATCAGCATGTTTGATCACTTCAGCGGTATAGGCGTAGCCCATTGCTCACCAGTAAGACCGCTGCAGGGTGACATTGTTCTCGCAACACTTCATTTTTCTCCAGTGTGAGTTGTCATCTGCACATCTTGCACCACTTGCCCGTACGCTAGAGTCTCTGTGGATCGATGTCCGTTTCTTATCGGTAACCCGGCTGCAAGACTCGAGCTAAGCGCACATTCTACAATCCCTTTTGTGTGGCAGTTGTGTCATTTTCTCATTGCGTCTACTCAGAGTTAACACAGCTCCGAAGGTGGTCAATCCAGCATAGTTGTCGCTATGGACGCCGCGTTGGGTCTCTGCAAGTAGCCGGATGTAAGAAGTCAGAGTGACAGGCTCGTTCAGCGCTTCGAATTCGTGCGGGTATAGCGTGTGTCTGTTTGTAGCGCTGACTCGGTGTAGGATGATTTCTATGATCACCTGAACGACCTTCACACAGAAGTCCGGGAACTGTATTGCTGAGTGATAATCTGAGTGCCAAATTTGATTGTTTTCTACGATTAGCTCTTCATGATCACTACAATGTAGGCTTCCGTAAGAATAACGATGAGCGGTAGCTGCATTTGCGCAAAAATGCTCATCTATTTCTCGTGAGCATTAACCTTCTACACAGCACCCGCCGGACGGAGATATAGTGTCCACCAATCTCGGATCAACCATGGCCATTAATCAATCATATCGCTGTCAGTTAATGTTGGAAGGGTTGTGTCCAAAACTTATTCGATTCGGAGCACAAGCATGAGATCCGGCCATGCACTTGTGTGTGCCGATCTCTGAGTTGTTTCGGTGGGCGCCTGCGACAACGCTGTGGGTGCATGGATACTTGCCAACTGGTGGAGCCGGATGTTCTGGATGCGTATAAAAATACGCTGTCATTCTGGCTGAGTAAGCACCCGCGGACCACATTGGTCGCACGTTCTCTGGATCTTATTAGAAACGTGATCAGTCCTATTGCCAGCGTAAACAATGTGTCTCTACACATTTTCTGGAACTGCTGGCAGCGAACAACGGACTTATAAAATCTCCGTGCTTAATTTAGTGCTAACTTGAAGTGGTATCACAAAGTGTCGCAGCTGAAAACAGCTACTGCTCTTTATGATACCTGTAATTTACTCTGTCTGATGCTGTGAATGAGGAGCAGCTTGTCCATAACCTGTCAAAATGTTTGAAACGCTGGACTGAACACTTTGTAAATCAATTGGCCGAAATTATCAGCTTCATCGCCGATCAGTGATTGTCCTGCTCGCTTTGCCTTCCCTTTGGATCCGCCCCCTCGCACAGAAGTCGCACGTGAGATCAGACTGCTGAAATTGAATAATGCCACAGTACCAGATGGATTTCCTCCAGTCTTCTTCAAAATTGCTAACTAGCTCTTGTGGATGATTTATACGATTTACTAGGGAAATTGCATGAACAGGAAACTCCCAGCTGATTGGGGGCTCTCCGTTAAAGTCCCAGTTTTCAAGGTAGGCAGGATTCGGAATGCGGTAGCCGTAGATATATCAGCCTGATCTCAATTGTTTCTAAATTGTTTGCCTCTTTCTCCACAGATCGACTGCTGCCTATAAAAGCCGTAGTCGTGAAGGACAAGCCTGGTCTCGTCGAAATCAAGTTTGTTGTTGGACTACTACAACGTTTATTTGCGGCCAACCGTAGTCGTATTCCTCAATTCAGTAAATCAGTGTGCTTTTATGGACTGCATGTGTAGAAAACATGTGCCCAAGTAATATGTAAATGTTATATTGTAGTTCGGACAGAGTGAGGATTTATGGCAAATTCTCGCCGCTCTTCAGTATGTGAGCGATACGAAACGAAGATATCCGTTATCAACTTTCCTTTTTAACTTCCCCACTGACTAAGTCATGGGAACCGCGCTCACTGGACACGACTCAGGTGATCGACTTCTTGGCTTGGTTTACGCCTACGACATTGTCTTGATCTGTGACGGCTCACAAACGTGCCAAGCAGCACTGGGCAATTCAACATTGGCTGTCAACCGTTTCGGCATGTGCTTTGCACTCTCCTAAAGCAAGGCTTTCCTCCACGGTTGACAGGGAGTTTTCCTTGGTGTGGATAAGTTGATCAAAAATTCTGCTATTTGGGTAGCTGTATCAGCGACTGTGGGATCGAAGATGCGGCCACGAACCATATAGAAATGCAAGTCGCTTTCGCTAATCCGCCACCTGTAGCGCCGGTGCAACATCACTCGCTATGAAGGGTCGTGTTTACAGTGCGACCGTCCGTTCAACCCTCCTGTACGCTTGTGAAACCTGACGCAAAAGATTGAGAAAAGAGTACTTATCTTCGACCACCGGTGCCTTCGCAGTCTGGAAGAGCGCGTGAGCAAGGAGCTTGATTGGTGTCTCGTATTTGGTGCAGTAAGATCCAGTGAACTTTTCAGTACCATTATTTCACGCAGCAGGCTCCAACGGGAGGGACTGTGTTACCCATACTAGCACACCGACTCCAACGACTTGTGTTAGCGCGACCGGAGTCTGGTTGGAAGAAGAGGACGAGAGGTCAACCGGTAATTCCGTCAAGAGGAATGAAGGTCCTTGTTTCAAACTTGGCCTCGGTTGGAGCCTTTCAACTCTCTGGTTGGAGTCCTAATGACAATGAACACGTTTGGCTGGATACACTTGTTGACATGGCGCAGAGTCGACCACAACGACGTCTGCGTTGTGTTTCTTTATCCTGCCTAATCCCACTTAACCTCTCTCTCCAAGCACCGTCTTCTTGTTAACGCATGATATAGACGCAGCATCACACTATCTCTGTTTTATTTTGCTTTATTTTTTTGCGATCTGGCTGAGTTGCATTGCTGCACAGTAGCTGGGTTGTTTCCTTTCCCTAGCTAATGTGTTGAATGAATGAACAGGACATTCGGTTTTATATTCTTTCGTCATATATCAAAGTGAAGCCGTCGGCGCGGACGCAGATGACTAGCGGCCCTAGGGATCGATAGCTGGATGGATAGACTATTGGCGTGTCAGCTCTCGTCTAGTCGACCTGTCTGTCTAAAATTTGTTTGATGCGGAGCAATGGCTGATTATGACGCGGGGCAGTGCGATCTACAATAAAGCTATCTCGCCGATGCCGCCTTATCTTGGCACAGTACCCAACTGTTTGTGAGGATATGTTGTTGACAAGGTGTGGGTGCCTTGACCTTGAACATTTGCATGTACTATTAAGGTTTTACGCTAGGTCCCGCTTCTCTCGTTGTGATTGTATGACAGCGAAGCATCAACTCAAATGGTTGGTGTACGACTGATGCTGAAGATACTGATTGGGTAAGCCAACTATTGGTGGAGTCCTCAGGAAATGTTCTCAACAGCCACGTATTCTGACAGCGATATATTTGCATTTACCAGCTCCATGAGTCTGGTTTAGTAGACATCAGGACAAATGAAGGGTTACGTGTGGGGCAATGCCATGATTAATTGACTTAAGGTCTAGAATCTTAGGGAACGGGGAGAACTATTAGGGCTATCTACTTTTTGCCTATCGCCATTGCGCAGAGCTGTAAGTTTGGTGTCGCTTTATCCCCACTCGCCATCCTTGATGATGGGCGCCGTTACCAACTACAGCTCAGCTGGTTGTGTAGGAACGCAAGGCTGTCTGCCAAATTTGGTCCCGTTCAATTGACATTTAGGTGACGTTGCACTGTTCAGTCTGTGCTGTGTTGTTGGTGCGATCTCCTGCCCTTGTTGTGCTTGGCTGGGAGCTGCTTGCGGCCGCTGGCCATTCCTGTGCACGCTGTTTGTCTTTTGTCTAAGTCTACTGATTAACCTAATGGATTAACTTCATACAGACTTGTAAACTAAATCCGGTGACCGAAAGGATTACGCGCTTGCTTCGGAATCCAAAGGTCAACATTTCCAATCCGTGTGGCTGTTTTCGGTCTCGTGGTATACTCGGCCTACCCGCAACCGTGGGTGGTCATCTCGTAGCGAAGCATTGGTGCAGTGTGCTGGCGTACTGCCGATTTCAGTAGGGGTCTAACTGATAGCTCCAGCTAATTTTTTCACACCAGAATGCTTCTTCCAGTTGACATTTCGTGTTTCCGGCTCACAGGAAATTGCTTATTGGGTCTTGGTTCGTGCGAAAAGCACGTTCGGATGCCCATGTGTCCGCGGTTTCCATCACATGACGAGATAAAGTATTTTATTTTACCTTTTCTCACAGTGTTTGCACCAGTGCTACCTTTGATCTCAGATTGCTCACTGCTCTCTCTCTTCTCAGGACACGAAGAAGATCATGATAGAAAGGTTGCATAGCCAAGTCGATGGTAGCGAGTGGTCGTGGCACAATTTGAACACCCTTTGTTGGGCTATTGGGAGTATTTCCGGAGCAATGCAAGAGGATGACGAGCGTAGTTTCCTGGTCATCGTTATTCGTGATCTACTTGGTCTGTGCGAGCAGAAACGCGGAAAGGATAACAAAGCGATAGTTGCCAGCAACATTATGTACGTTGTGGGCCAATATCCACGATTTTTGAGAGCTCATTGGCGGTTCTTGAAGACCGTAATAACCAAACTGTTTGAGTTCATGCATGAAACCCATGAGGGAGTGCAAGACATGGCGTGTGATACGTTCATCAAAATTGCGCAGAAATGTCGACGACAATTGGTCACTGTCCAGGTAAGTACCGTCTGATACAAATTTTATGTTCTTCACAGTTGATGATACCCTGTAGAGAGATTTTCGTGATCTCTGGGGAATGCATGCACTTGTTGGGATCAGTAACTAGATTCCAAAGTGCTAACTTCAGTGCTCACAGCAGACCCCTGCAACCAATGTTCGGAATTGCATCAAGCATTGGAAGCGTAATCGGGTTCCGTTGTAAGCCCTGTGTAGCTATCCACCACCGAACTATACAGAACCGACTCAATACTATGCATTTTAACTTGCTGTACGGAGATGTCACGGGTTCCGTAGTGCTGGCGATTGAATCGCTGCTCCTTTAAAAAAGCGCATTTACTCTTCGGTATACATAGCGGTGATATTGACGCCTCATCTCGTAATTCAGATGGAGCCTAGAGATCTGCATCTGCACATTCCTTTGTCGCTTCACGTTTACCATTTCGAAGTTTTCTTTCTCGCAACACTCCTGATCATTTGGTTTTGTAGTTGACTTCGCGTCTCACTGTAATGTGAAATAAAGTCGCAGTTATTGTTCCCCAGCCTCTCAATTTCACTGATTTAACGATATGGTCCATACATTGCTTTCCGATTTATGCCACCTGCTTGCGTTTAACCCTGACACTTCATACGCCGTTGTTTTTCGTTTGTTAGTATGGTGAGGCGGTGGAGTTTATCGACGAAATTCTCAAAGAAATTGACATAATCATCAACGACCTCCATCCCCAACAAGTGCATACATTTTATGAAGCGGTCGGTGTGATAATCAGCGCTCAAACTGACGCAGCTGTCCAAAGTGAGCAGATCGAACGCCTTTTCCGATTACCAAACCAAGTACGTCCTCTATACATACCTGTTTATAGTTCCATTTGGCTTTTCAGCCAGACCATCCAAATGTTTTGAGTCCTCAATACTCTAGCGTCGAAAACAGGATTCACCAGAAAATATATGAAACTATGAAACTTACTACTATTTTATTGATGACACTACTCCGACTGTAGTGCTCTGCACAGAACAATCTATTCATCTTTCCTACGTCCTCTATATGTCAAAAGTATTACTACACCAATCACATTTATTGGACACTGGCGATGTACTTCACGAATGTATTGCTCCCGTCATTGAGGCGTCCTAAATGCTTCAAGGTGGATTGGAAAAATTAATGAGATGGTGTGATATTGTTAGTTCCTTACGCTGAAAAGTTGTGGTCTATTATAAATCCCCTCCTTTGTCTTTATGTGGCAATATCATACCTATTAGATCCACCGTCAAGTATCTCGATGTCTTTTTGTCACAAGACCTGTGAAATGTTAGAACAGACCTAAGTATCATGTGGTGTGATTTGTTTGACATGAGCTCCGCCATCATCTTCTATGGACTCCTTCCATGTGATCAATAAGGCATATTTCTGGATGCAACGGTATATATATATATATATATATATATATATATATATATATATGTATGGTTGGCGGCATCCGGTTTCGGATTTGGCTGTCACTGTGGTCAGCCACAGGACGCCTGCGCCTACAGAGGGACCATGGATGGCTTGCGCTGCACCACCCACAACTCCATCCACACACCCCATATCCAGTGTAAACCCGAAGGAATAAGACCGGGAGGCAAATGGATTGCAGCCACGTTTCATCAACGGAGCCGGGACACACTCCTTCACAGACAAACACAAACACACTGTATTTGGAGGATCAAGCGCACACAATGCGGTGACTGGACCGTAGTCCGCTCCACACTGAGTGCATGGAACCGCTCTTCGAGCCTAGCACGACCACAAGGACTGTGCACCCCGTCCCCTCCAGCAACGACCAACTGTCTCCTGGAGCCAGTATGGACGAGGTAGTGGGTAATAGACAGGTAGGCACCTTGTCAACATGCACATCAAGCGCAGCCACACCGGGGATATCAAACAACAGCCAATCACTTGAAACGACAAGATGAAATAAAATAAATCGAATAATGCATACAGATACGGTGGCATAACTTCACTAAATTAGCATATGAAGTAATTTGGTTAGCAATGATTCCGCGATAAGGAAAAATGTCCACAAGTTAGTTAAAAATGTTACAAACGCAACAAAGTTACCGAAGATAAGCGCGATTAATGTAAGCGACGTGGCCAGTTAATAGAAGAGTATTCAGGTAGGCAGAACAAACCAAATAAAGTGGAATGAAATTTAGCCAGCTTAAAAAGACCTAGTTTAAGTGTATGTTGGTTTAGCCCAACTGCGGTGAAGAAGCATCAAGAATGCAACATCAGCCTCAGCATATATATATATATATATATATATATATATATATATATATATGTAAACTAAATGTCTAACACACAGTGAAATTTTCTAGTTCGATTCTTTCAACGTCTAAAGTTGTTCCACGCCTCCTCGTGTCGTAACAGCCTTACGCTATCTGCCACGTCTATTCATCAACCCCTAGAAAGAGCCTATCAGCGTGGCACTTTGCCCTCCATTTTGTACTTTCGATTGCTGCCATCTGTCGGTGCATTCACAGTGTTAGAGAACGTGTGCCGTTTGGGTGCATAAGACCTATTTTGATTGATTTACGTTGACTTTTTATTCATCTTAATCATTCATTTTACAGATTTGGGATGGTATCCTCTCGCGAGCTGCCATGGACATGGAATTGTTGAAGGATCCAGAAGTCGTTAGACAATTATGTAATATACTCAAAACCAACCACAGTGCATGCAAGTCTATTGGACAGCCCTATTTGGTTCAGGTAAGGAGCAACTTTCTCGATTTCTGCTTGATAAAATAATAACATGTCAGCTGTACGCCTTAACGGCGCTTCGCTGCCGCACGACCATCACCAGTCGCGCGCGGGCTGAGTATACCGCGAGGACGCCTACCCCTACGCGGATTCGAACCGGGGACTTGATGGCTGCAAACCTAACGCGCAGACCACTCGGCCACCGGCCGATTTCTGCACGAGATTGACCCATCTATGCGTCACACTACAATTGGACATAGCTCAGTTAGATAGCCAAAATTGATTTAGCCATACTTCGTAATTGTGGTGGTGGCATTTGTTCCCAACAGAGTGACTTATCTAATGTCGTTTGTCAGTTATGCCACGCTTGCAGTTTCCGTAGTTCATGCGGATTAGAATGTCTACTTGATGCTGGTCCACGTTGGTCGCCAGACAATGGGTTGTCCGACGCGAAGTGTGAGCTTCAGGTTTCCGAATTTGTACGACTGATGAAAAGCTGTGACTGAGTTGCGAATTCGTACTTACACTTGCAAACCAATTCCAGGAACCTTAATTTCTGATGGGGGCGCGGTATGGAAGCGTCGGGATTCGTCGAGCCGGGTACTTTGATTGCAAGCGTTTTTTTCACCATTTCAGGTACCATCCTTAGCGCGCAGGACTGGTAACAGTTAATGGTGTATTTCTGTGCGGTGCTAGGCACAGTCCAACTAGGTGTTTACAGCAAGATCACATAAATACTTAATTGTTCATGTTTTATATAATGGAACAAAAAACGTATTAAAAATACTAACTGGCAGGTTTAAGGTATTGGAGCAATTGAGAAACAAACTGGGAACCCAATGTTCAATTAGTACAGCCAGCCATGGAACCGTCCCCAGGGGACCTGCTTCCACGCAGCGTATTCCTTCGAAGTTTTTCATCCGCACTTCAATGCCATCTCTGACCGTAGGCTGGTGTGGCGAAGTAGCGAATACGCCACCGCATGTGTAGCACATGTTTTTTAGGGATTTTTATGCGTACATTATGGGCGATGAGGCCTCAGCCTGTTCCGTCATGCGGCTCATTCAAGTATGGCACTTTTTATACGCCAGTCAGTCTGTGGCAATGTGTCTTGCATGGGTACACAATTTTATTTAGGAGACTTAATCCATCACCTCCGATGCACGGATCTTACCGACATCGCAAGTTCCCATGCACTGCTCTAGGCAGTGATTACTTCGTTAACCCAACGAATATAGCGTCGGTGCCGGTTTTCACGCGTCGTGCGCATGCTATTCAGCATTCACCTGTCACTGTCAGTTTCAACAAGTGGTATGCTACGTGCATTTGTAGAGTTTACCGTAGTCAGTTCAGTTAGAGGTCCGACATCTAAAATTAGGACAGTTATGTCATAAAGCGCCACCAACAGATTCTATGTGTATCAACTCCCTTGGCGCATCGAAAGTGATTTGGCCTATACGTTGTTTCACTTGCATGGCTTCTTTCATATTATTTCTTTCACTCAGCTTGGTCGAATCTACTTGGACATGCTGAATGTGTATAAAATTATGTCTCAGAACATCAGCCAGGCTGTTGCGACCAACGGTGAGATCGTTATCAGACAACCATTGATCAAAAACATGCGCTCTGTCAAGAAAGCCATCTTAAATGTCCTCTCATGCTGGATACATCGTACCACCGACCCAGTCATGGTGAGTGCATCTCATGTGCGTTTACCTTGTGTATACATTTTGCATACACTTTGTGAATACACACACGTTTCCTTGCTCTTTAGGTTGCGGATAGTTTTGTGCCCCCACTGTTAGATGCAGTGGCCGAAGACTATCGACGCAATCTGCCGGCGGCTCGCGAAGCTGAAGTTTTAGGCCTCATGACCACTTTAGTGACTCGATTGCAGGAACATATTTTGCCCACTCTACCCCGCATACTGGACGCTGTGTTCCAGTCCACACTAGAAATGATTGACAAGGATTTGGAAGAGTTCCCTGAACACAGAACCCAATTTTTCAACCTCTTACAAGAAGTGAACAGTCATTGCTTCTCTGCCCTCCTCAGTCTGACTCCTGACAAGTTCAAATTGATTTTGGATAGTGTGATATGGGCAATAAAACATACTATGCGACAAGTGAGTCCCAAAACCATATTTGTTTTTTATACCCTATCTGTTCAGCCACTTCCATTTTCTCCAATTTTTTTTACGCTTACCATCTGATCCCTCGCAAACAGTCAGCTGTTACAGATTCAACACAACTATTGTCTTTGCAGAGTGGACTTGTAACGCAGTGACACAGTTAATATTGAAATTCACTTGACAACTTTTCCTATCGGAAAGTTTGTTACATTCGAATGGTTGTTCGTCCTTTGAAATCAACATCAAGAACAGCAGTACATCTGCTATTTGAACTGATGCTTCGCTGCCATACAATCATGATGACCTATGGAATAAAGAATAATAAGTGGGAGAGAAGGGGAATTCACCTGAAAACCTTAATGTCCCAAGCAGGCATTCATGGTCAATGCGCCTACACATTGCACTAACAACATATTGTCACTAAAACCTGGTTATCGTGCAAAGATAAGGCGGCATCGGTGAGACAGCTTCCTTACGGCTTTTACTACCCTACGTCATAATCAGCCATTACCCTGCACATAACTCAGCACCTAACACACTTTAAGCAGGCAATCCGATTAGGAGACAGCAGCAGACGCGCCACTAGTGTCGGCTGCGAGCCATATCTTGTAAAGTCTCGTGTCAATCACAAGGCGAGCCTCGTGGACTCCAGCCCGGAAGGCGAGACGGACCTATGGCACCCAGTTTGGTCGTCAGTGACTTCATTCCCGTTGTCAAGTCAACTTTTGTCCACCTCGAGTCATGCGCCACCCTACACCTGGCAGACTAAACAAGACCCTCCTAGGTAAGCGGGGATCAGGCATACGTGACACGTGCCCGAGCCAACGCAACTTATTCAGTGCTATCTGATGTTCTAGGGAGCTAGCATGATCATCATTACTTAGTACTCGCCTACGCACATGATCGTGGCGGACACGCTGGTGCCATCCGACACCAGCAATGCTTCGCAGACAACGATGATCAAAGACTTTAAGGCGCCTCAGCTCTTCAGACTGAAGGGGCCAAGTCTCACTACCATACAGCAGAACGGCCCTTACTTTGGACTTGTATACATGGCCTTTCAGACGTAGAGTAACTCCCTTCTGTCGCCAAAGATGCCGCAGGTTCAAGAAGGTAGCTCTGGCTTTTGCAATGCGTGAGCTGACGTCAGTTTCTATGCACACATTGTTGCTGATGCAGCTACCAACATAAGTGAATTGATCAACCCTTAGTTCCTCGTTAGCAAGGGTCAAGGGTTATCAAGTGGCTGGTGGTCCTGCAGCAACACTTTTCACTTTGAAGATGCGAAGTGCATACCAAATAATGGGGCCACTCTAGACAGGCTATTCAGGGTTGATCGTGCCGCCGCAAGATCGTCGAAAAGTAAGGCAATATCGTCCGCATAATCAAGATCAATTAATATCCCACCAGGCAGCAGTTCAACGCCTACATCGTGAGATTCCGCAAGGAAACACTCCATGATAGAATCCACGACGAAATGGAACAAAAATGAGAAAATCGGACAACCCTGACGAACGCCACTTGTGGCCGGAAAGCTGTCCGACAGGTCATCGTAGACCCTGATGCGGCCTGTATTGTTCGAGTATAGAGTGCGTGAGATGTTCACGTATTTCGTGGGAACACCTTTCCGCGCAATTATTTCAAACAGAATGCGTCGATCGACTGAATCGAACGCATTCTTGAAGTCAAGGAACACAGCTATTGTCGGTATGCGTGGCGCTGCTTTAGCACCTGCCTCAAAGCGAATATATGGTCTATACAGCCACACCCTGGGCGGAAACCTGCCTGCTTTTCCCTAATCCGAGATTCCCGTTCCACAGTGAGGCGACAGACGAGAATCGAGGCCAGTAATTGTGTCAAAACCGGCGTTAGGCTAGTAACCTTGTGGTTAGAACAGTCTGTGCGAGTGCTCTTCTTGTACGTTACCACTATAATCGATTCGCTTCCGTTAGCCGGGACACTCTCTTCCTTCCAGATAAGTTCGAATATGGAGGTCAGTGCTTTGTAGAGGACCTCACCTCCATCCTTAAATAGTGCAGGTGGGAGGGAATCCGGGCCAGCGGCACGAAAACGATTGAGGGCTGTGATCGCGTTTCGGACCTCTGCCTCCGACGGAGGCTGTAAACTAACCGTCCATGGCTCGTCCTGCATCACCTGAGTGGAAAGAGGTCCGGGAGCCAGGTGAACTGATTTTGAAAGTGTTCCGCCCAACGAGCCATACGGCGCTCCTTATTGCATATCAGTGCACCTACACTGTCTCTGATTGTCTCGCTGACACCTGGTTTCCTGAGACCAGTGGTTCGGATCAGCTGGAAGAGCTTACGGTAGTTGCCTAATCCTCCTGCTTCTTACATTTTTGAGCCGTGTTTGTCCACCAGGCTTCCTTGTCAACACGTAGGCGCTTCAGTTCGCGCCTAATAGCCTGTCTAGTCACTTTGTGATCAGAGCCAGCTGGGAGGTTTCTTCTGGATTCCAACAGGTTCACCGATCTCTCGGATATTCAGTGACTTGTGCGGTGACGATGGATAGTGCCACAAGCAGATGCTCCTGCGCCGAGATCCTATTCCACTGAAGCTCAGTGTCATTAGAACAAGACAGCGAAATTTTGGTATGCAGTGTGTCTTGATAGACTTGTCTGACTGAGGACTGAGATTTTCTCAGTTACACGAAAATCAAAATTTTGTTTACAGACCCAACGGGTCTTCCGTCTGCCATATTCATTCTAGTGCGCTATGACAAACCGTCGGTCAAGTTCCAGTTATAGTCACACACTTGCACAGGTCAACTGCAGTCCGTTCTGGCCAAGGTAGACTCTTCGCGTGAGTGAACCTTTTCTGCATGCACAGCGCTGGTTCGTACAACCGAATGATGATGGCTTCTGCGGCGTCCAATATCCGCTTACGGAAATACTTTGGTCGAATTTCTGGGGCCTGATAGATTACTTTGAACGAATCAGCCGACTTGGTGGCGTGATCCTTATTCGCAAGATGTGCGGCGCTGGCAGAGTCGGTGGCCTTTTGGCCTCCATTTCCGAGCCAGGCCGGATAATGTTCCTTCATTCTTTCGGATAAGCGTCTTGTCGTACGACCAACGTAACCTGCTCCACAAGACCAGCTGAAGGATTAAACACACATTGATTTGGTGTAGACAAGCAGCTTATCCTTGAAGTTTAGTTTCATCATGGGCTACTGGTGAACCGGATTTGCAGCCTCACCGCTGGGAAGGTATTCCTGAGTGTGGACGAGAGACGGCGGGATAGATTCTCTGCTACTATTTCCCCTTTGTAAGGCAGTTATAGGAAAATAGGTTTCCGTTCCGCCGTCAGGACCGCAGGTGCCTCCCTGTTTCGCCTCATATTGGCATTAATAAAATTCTCTTGGTAGCCATTCTCGTTAAGCGTCGATCGTATGCGCTGCGACTCTTCGAAAAGAGTGTCCTTCAAGCAGATTCTTTCGGTCCGGTTCACAAGACTGAGAACCAAGTTTCTCTTAATCGGAAGCGACACAAAGCTATGCAAGTTTGTGTACTGTCCACTCCAAGTGCACTTTCGATAAACGCGACGTTGTACTGCACCACCGTCAATTCTTTTTAGAGCTACATCGAGCTACATCCTAGGTGAACTATATAGCCTTGTGAGCCTGGTTAAATACGCTGGTGAGCTCCTCGATGTTATCAGAGGCGTCAAGTAGGACGAAGATGTCATCTGCGTAACGGTGGTATAACGTAAGGCTGCTGATGACCGCTTTCAATTTAATTTACCCTGTTCCAGCATGCCCATGAAAACATCAGCGAGGAATAGTGATAGCAGGGGAACCCATTGCAACTCCATCAAGCTGCCGGTATATATCCCCGTAGAATAGGAAGTGAACACTAAATGTACACCTTAGCAGTAATTCTTTCAGGGCCATAGTTGGTATGCCAATATTAAGTTGGCTCTCGTCAACAAAGTTGCAAATGAAGGTACATTCGTGAACGGCTGGCTTGCCGAACTACCTCCTCGTAGTGCTAGCTGGGTAGTTCGGGTGTACCCCGTTCCAGCAAAGTGTTCGGCGACAATGTTCCACCTTGATGGGGCATTGTGTTCCATCAATTGTGCTGGTTTTACGGGGGAGTATTGGGCCCCTGTTTGGTGATCTACCAAACAAAAACGCATGAACTGCACATTCAGTCAGCGCCTCCCAATAAGCGCGCTTCCCTAAATTCGCTTCGCTACCTTGCGGGTAGGTTATTTAGCAAAAGGCTCTGGGTGGAGTCCCCTAAGTCAACTCCCTACTTCGGTTTGGGCAACCGGGTAGTATCACGCCCTCTCACAAAACCATGGACTGTACTACAATGTGCTTCTCACATTTGTGCGACTTCATCACACGCCAATTGTTCATTTGCTAACAATCCTCACTTTCCGTCACCCAATTCATGTGTTCAACAATCTGGCTGCGATTCCGGTTACGCAACGGACCAAGGAGTTCAACCTGTGGCTCTCCTTCGTCCCCGATCCTCCTTCCGTCTGGCGTGCTTCAACGTTCGTACACTCATACAGATTGGACAACAAGCCGGTCCAGCGCGCACCCTAGATTCCTTAGACATTGATGTCTGCTGCCTTTCAGAAACCCAGTTGCAAGATCCCAGCAGTGTGCTTACATTGACTTACCCCAGTGACCACGAAGCCAGATATCACCTGCGTCTTTCTAGAGATCCAGAAGCAGCCTCAGTAGGTTTGTGTAGGTATAGCACCAAGTGGCAAGGCCGAGGCGGCACTACTGGACTGGTTCCCGATTAACAGCCGACTATGTGCAGTTCGGCTTCGGGATTTGTGTAGAATCAACAGGCACCGCGAAGAGAGATGCAACTTATTTGTAATCTTCGTGTACGCTCCAGCTGATTGCAGTGACGACTTGGTCAAGGACGATATCTACCGGGATCTACAACAGCTGTTGACTAATGCTAAAAAGTCGGATGTCGTTATCCTTGCTGGGGATTTTAATGCACGGGTTGGCCGCCTGTTACCAAACGAACGCCACCTTGTTGGTCATCACGCGCTCGATGAGAACCGCTCTGATAACGGAGAATGGCTTCTCACATTTGTGCGAGGACAACCATCTGTTTCTCGAGCACTAACTTCAGGCGTACGAAGAAGCGTTCCGCAACGTAGCGTTCTCCTTCGCCAACCTAACCGTGATCTCAAATGGATCACATTGCAATTAGCTTCAGATGGCGCGGCAGCGCACTGAACTGTAGGTCCTTTTGGTACACCTTCTTTGACTCAGATCATGCTCTGGTCTACGCGAAAATCTGTATGTGTTTTGGGGGTCCCGAAACACGAAGCACCGCAAAATCGATGTAAACAGATTAACTGATTCCTCTGTCCAGGCGAGCTACCAGTCTTCACTGGCATATGCACTCAGTTGCAATCCACCGCAAGAAGTGGAACAACACTGAACTTGTATGCGGAAAGCGATAACCATTTCCGGATATTCATGCTGCGGCCTAACTCGACGTCCTTTGAAGACTTGAATCTCTGTTCGTTCTCTGGAGCTGTTCGAACGCCGCAAAGATATAACTGCGGAAGCAGATTGCAACTAGCGGCGCTGTTCTGCCAACCGGCTGCTCAAGCAAAGCCTACGCAAGGATCACGAGACATGGTGGTCTGAGCGTGCTTTAGAGATGGAGACCACTGTCCTCTCGGGCAACACTCGCAGACTTTTCCAACTCATTCAGCCAACTGGCCTCAGGAAGCCTGATGTCAGTGAGGTAATTTGTGAGGTGGATGAGTCTCCGATCACCAACCAACAGATGCGTATGGACCGCTAGGCCGAGCACTTTTACTCGCACTTCAACTGGCCTCCACCATCCATCAGTACATGCTGTACACCTTGTTGTCTACCCTGGCTCGTCCCACTAAATCCACCCAGCGAAGCGGAAGTCTGCCTCGAGAATCGACGCTTGATGCGGTTCAAGGCTGCCGACTCAGACGGACTTCCTCCGGAACTGTCCAAGTACGGCGGTGTGGCGATCATTAATCAGCTGACCGCGCTGTTCGCAAAAATCTGGCATGAAGAGAAAGTGCCTTCCTCTTAGGGCGAATCAGTTATTGTCCCGATTTTCAAGAAAGGCGCTCGCATTTCATGTGTAAATCATCGCGAGATCAGTCTTATTTCGGTTGCCTCCAAGCTTTTGACATCCATTCTGTTTCGCAGACTATCCCCAGTACGTGAATCATACTACCGTGAAGAACAAGCTGATTTCCGTCCTGACCGCGGATCAAATCTTCACGCTTTGCCAGCTCCTCGAACACTGCCGCATTTATCACAGGCCCACTATCGTTGCATTTCTAGACATACGTGCCGCTTTTGACTCCGTTGATCGACCTGCTTTATGGTGCTGCTTACTAAAGAGCGGGGTGCCAGAGGAATACACCGCCATCTTACGAGCACTTCACCTTCATACATCCGGCAGAGTGAGGGTCTATGGCAAGCTGTCCTCGCAATTCGCTGTCAATAGCGGTGTGCGACATTACTGCCCTATGTCCCCATTCCTCTTCAACTTCGCAATCGAAGACGTTCTGTCGAATGCTCTAGAAGGTTTCCAACATTTTGGCTTGGAGCTTCTACTGGGTGAGCGCGCGACCGACTTAGATTATGCTGATGATATCGCCTTACTTGGTGACGATCCTCAGGGTATGCAACTCATTCTGGATCGTTTGTCGGTTGAAGCACCTAAGTATGACATGAGTTTCGCCCCATCGAAGTGTAAAGTATTGCTCAAGGATTGGCTTTCACCTGCTCCCGTGCTCACTCTCGAAGGTGCACAACTTGAACTGGTAGATAGTTTCGTCTATCTCGATCGGCATTTGTCAATCTGAGGCACTTGTGGCGTCGTCGCGACGTCTCTTTCTCATTAAAGGGCCGCGTTTACAGCGCATCAGTTTGCTCAGTATTGTTGTATGGGTGCGAGTCCTGGCTGCTTCGCCTGAAAGATATGTGTCGTCTTTCTGCCTTCGATAACGGTTGCTTAAGGAGGATCGCTCGTGTTTGGTGGCAACATCGAGTTAATAGTAATGACGTTCGACGTCGTATCTTGGGGAATGCAAGTATTCCCTTCAACAAACTGGTTTTGTTCAGTCAGTTAAGATGGCTCGGTCACGTCCTACGCAAGGCACCTGAGGCTCTACCGCGTCGTGCTCTATTCGCTCGTCAAGGACCTGGCTGAAGGTGACCGCGTGGTTGTCAGCCTTCTACATCGCGGCAGCACATGAAATCGCAGACGTCGTGTCTAGCCGCTGTTGGACCCGTACGTCTCCCAGGATGGGGATCCAAAATGAGGAGTGCCAATGGCTTAGGACTCTTGAAGACACGGCCCGTAACCGGAATCAATGGAAGAATCGTGTGAAGTATTGTATTGATTCACATGTTTAATACTTCAAACATTGAAAATGACAAAAAAGAGAAAAATCGGCGTGTGGAAAACAAACTAAAAATGTTTTGTTCTACTTTTTGTCAAAATGTTCTATTCTTCCTGCGGCATATTAGCTGAAGTGTGTTGCTCACCTTCAACTAGCATGCCACGATGATTATAACGCAAAGACTGTCTCTTATGCACTGATCTCCATTGTTTTCTGTTGGCTTTTTGTTTAGTTGTTAGACTGCTGAGATCAATCACTCACTTATTCGTGAACATTGAAGTGACGTCGAGAGAGCACAGTTTGCTTTGTGACGTTGACATCACACACGGCGTCTACAAACGCAAGTGTCCCTTAGAGTATGTACAGCGACTCGTCTACGCACAGGCTCAATAAGTTCCATTAACCAATGAGCAACCAAGTGGTATGGAAAGTTTCTCATATCCAAATCCGGACGAAGAGGACAGTTAGGCTTGTGGATTTTGGGAAGGCGGTAAAGCCTTGGAATAACCGTGCCCACAGGGCGTAGATTTTCATAGACCCATTCACTGATATAATCACCATTCTTAAGCTTTTGAGACAGACGCACTGTTGATTTTCGATCTGCTTTGTTTTTTTTCGCTCACCACACATTTTTAAGAATTTCATATTAGCTGCCAATATTTCACCCATCTTGTAAAGGTAGTCTGCTCTGTTTAGGTTACCAATGCCGGCGTTTTTGTCTGGTCGAGTAAGCAGAAGTTGATCATTGCTAACTAGTCACTGCAGTGCTTGCATGTGCTCATGTTTCACTGGGGTGTTTTCGATACCCTTGCACGTAGCAGAGCGGCAGGTGAGTTGGGAAACCGTGGGCAGAATTAGTAAAATGGATTCGAGAGACAGGACGCTGCATGATCAGCAAAAGCCAACTACAGTCACGTTTCAGTAAGATGACGTCTTGTTTAACAGGGAGTACTTGCCTTGAAGTGGGCGCTCGAAGTTTGACATGTTATTGTCCCACTTCCAAATGGTCTGGGAAAGGTCATGACACTCCTGTCGTTCAGATGAACATACGACCCGTTAACGGTGTTTTTCTTGACCTATTTGTTGTGACCAATCCATCTCTATTTTCTCATTATATAGGACCGGCTTTGTTTGATCTTCATCCATCAGACAACATGCTCTGAGTGACTCTGAAGCAGCAATCTATTCGGACAAAGAAATTACTCCATTCCTATCCATATCTATCGTATAACGACTACGTTATGTCATTACTACTACTACATTGTCATTCTACCTAGGCAAATTTCGGAGGGTGCTTATTCCCATTGTCTGCCTGCTTTTCTTTACTATGTTTGTGAGCAGTCTGGGATTGAAATGCAGCGGAATGAACTTGTTGTCACAACGGGGAATCACTTCAAACCGATTTCGTAGCGACTACGGTAGCGCAACGTGTATCGGCCATTTTCACTTACCTTCGCAATACGTGTTAAAGGAAGCGCAGTCCTGCTATCTCTAGTGTTCGAAACGCATCGTGCAGTGCAGTATTTTAGGGCGGTCCCAGTGACCTCCTTGGCCAAAGTTCACTTCATTGGGATGCGCAGTCCACATTGAGATTGCGCACACAACGACTGTTTCGAGATGACTCCCTCCCAATCAAGATTTTGCCATTTTGTATTGAGGCTGCATTCTGGCACATTTAGAGACGTTTTCATGCGATTTGATTCAAACAGCTACGATCTACGGGCGCACCATTGTCTCTATATTCAGTGGTGATATTACTCACTTTTGCGTATCCCTACTTCCTGCCTATATTCCACTTTTTATCTGTGTCCACAGGTCTCCGAAACTGGCCTGAATATTTTGCACACCATGCTCGCAAATATGTCAAACGCCAACTCCGAACACTCGCAGCTGTTCTTCAAAACGTTCTTCATGGACATTTTGCAACACATGTTCGCAGTGATAACAGACAGGTCGCAAACAGGAAGTAAGCTGAACACACCTTTTTCTTGCCTGGGCACTGCATTGTTGCTGACATACCTGAGCCTAAGCCTGCAGACTGAGAGTGGACCGTGATGAACTATCTCTAATCATACCAAATCCTCACTACACATTAGTAATTTTCACTTCGCTGGAATCTCAGCAAACTGAAGCAGGTGAGCATTGCTCTGTCGGTTACTTATCCTGAACAATTCACGGGGATCCTGATATATGAAGCAGTCTAGGATGTGCTGGTCAATGGTGCTAGCCAGCAGCTTGGGGCCATATTGCGTGGAATGCTCTCTGAAATCCTGGTCGACAGTCTTCTCTCAGTTCGGCCCATGTACTCGCTACCAAAATTTCCACTTTACTTCCTCGTCACGCTCTCGTGGTCACCGTATTCGGATGAAACGTTTGTAACTGTTTTAAGAGTGGTCACTGCTAACCGCCCTGCACTACTTGTCCCTATAGGCTATCGAGTACCGCGACGGAAGGATTGCACGCCTGCCTGAGGTCGCTGGTTCGAACCCGCGGCCAACCTAGCAATATGTCCAGCCCTCGAGAGACTGGTGGCAATCGTATGGCAGCGAAGCGTCGGTACGGTGTGCCGGCGTATTGCTGATGTCTTAACGTTTTTTTTCAATATTACATACTCCAACTTTACTCCTCAATAGGTGAACGATATAGCTACGCACCGATTTGCTTTGTCGAAACGCTCTTTGCTTTCTTCAGTTCTTCTTTATAGCATCTTGACTGGTACGGGACTTTGCGTTAGAAACTCAGCGATGTCACTCACTGTGGGATCGCCGCATGCCATGTGCATACATGGAAGTTTTTTCGACGACACCCACTGACTTGTCTTAGGATAAAACCGCTCTCCTTATAACTATCCACACACTAGCGCCAGCTCCCCAATGTTGCACAAACGCAATTCGTGAAAGAGTCACGACTTTTATCGTAGCAGCGTTTTGTGTCCACAGTGTATGCGCTTTGGAATCAATACGCCATGCCCCTGCAAAGAAACAGGGGTATTGTCGTCATCATTGGATTGTTGGAACACATTTGTACTGCAGATGTCACATTCGTGAATTAGGCAAACACTCCAGCTATAAGGGTTATTCGGCGACGGTGAGACTGGCCGCTACCGATGACTGTATAGAGCGAACAATCTCATCTGCGTGCCGAGGCAGTGCATGCACCAGTGTGGCTCCTGACGCTACAAATATCGTCCGGTGGACACGTAATTGCTCTGATGCCTCTACTGAATTCACACAACTCTTCTTTGGGCAGTGGTTGTTACACGGACCATATCTTTCAAATGCATAGTAGACACTTATTCTATCCACATCATCCTATTTCGCAGCCCTTATTTTGACTATAGCCGATTCGTCGTCATCCAAAGTAGTAACCATGAATCCGGAAAATTGCACGGCGTTCTTAACACACACCAGTCCTTTTGGTCACCCGACCACAGTGAGAGTAACACAGTGATCTAAGAAAATATAGGAGTTGACTGGTTTGAAGTATTTGGCAAACACAAGAACAAATCAGCCTAGTTTTGCAGTGTTGTAGTTGGATTTGGTCTCTAGTAAATGTTTAAACGAGAAACGCTGCTGGACGATTAATGCTTGCCGAAAGTTGGATCCAGGCCAAAGTTTGATATGTCGTCCGCATGTTTTGATTATTCTTGCCGATCATCTATGTTTTTTATACCGAAAATGAGAGAATTAGCATAGAACTACTATGAAATTAATCCGGTGTACCTTGTCTTAGTGAACTGTACAACGCCTGCTGGTGGAATGTAGTCAGGATACAAGCTGTCTATTTCATATCACCCGCGTCCTCTGTACTTGCTGTTAAACCCTAACGCGCCTAATCTCTCGTTTCAGATTTGACTCTGCAATCCTCCTTGCTTGCCTTCATGTTCAAGATAGTGGAGAATGATGTCATCACTGTGCCTTTGGGCGAGGTGACTGGTGGTCCAATGGACGCCAAACTGAACGTCCGTTACGTGCACCAAAGTTTAAGCCAACTGTTGAAACAAGTGTTTCCGCATTTACAGGACCCTCAAATCCGAGTCTTTATTGACGGTCTTTTTTCCTTCAATCAAGATGTGGCCGCATTTCGAGAACATGTTCGTGATTTCTTGGTGCAGATCCGTGAGGTCGCCGGACAGGATTTGTCCGATTTGTATTTGGAAGAGCGGGAACAAGAAATCGCACAGGCTCAAGCTGCAAAACTTCGTAGACAGGCAGATGTTCCGGGCATTTTGGGCCCCCATGAAGTTGATATGGTTGACTGACTGACGTTCCGGTCTGAGGCCACACAGCCGTTGTGTTGCTGTTACACATTTGCATTTTGAACCATCATCTTCACCGTTAAAGTGACGAATCATGGTGAATTCCTGATATTCATGCGAATTATACTTTTCCACATCTGTAACTATTACGGTTGTAATCGTTGTTAGTGCCCATGATCCCCACCGAGAGCGAGCCTCCGCATTCGCTCCATTTAATCACTTCTTACTTGAATGACCTAATTTTTGAAACAACTCGTTCCATTTCCCATCTGCTACGTACATCGTTATGGCTACTGAATAGCCGCATGTTTACGTGCCTGCGGCGCAGATTGAGCGTCGCTGCCCAACTCTCTCTTCGCTTGCACTCCATTTGAACGAAGGTGGTCCTGTTTTACTTATTACCTTGGCTATACATTTGCTTCGCTCTTTTCTCAACTTGTAAGCAGTGTGTCTGCTAATTTTGTGTGAAATAATTGAAGCACTGTTCTGAACAAAACGATGCTGTTGGTTCTGCTTTATAGAGACAAGTAGATGATGACCACGATTAAGCTGGAGATTGCGTTATTTGTTGGGGTTCGGGCTAAAAGACAGTGATCACTTTACATTTGATTCATGCCGTTGTCAATTCATATGGGCAACTGCTCATTGTCTCAAACAAAAAAGCTTAGAGGCTCCTTCTGCTTTTCCTCTCGCAACCAAATCGCAATATGACAGATGTACACTGATTGACATTGTAGGTGTGATTTATAGCTATCTGGCCGCTTAAGCTCCCCCTGCAACAATCCGTTCTACGAGCCCGGATACCGGAAGCCAACACTAGCGGTTTCCCTAGTTCTTTTAACCGTGAGGATGCGCACTCACCACGAAAACAATCCGTTCACAGTTTTATTGGCGCCTTAGCTGCCGACCCAATATACTTTCATTTAGCTGATGACGACTTGGCGTATAAATGGCGCTTCGTGTGTCAAAACGGTCTGCTGATGCTAGGCACCATTCTTGTTCTCGAGTAATCGCGAGCAGTTACGCGGCGGCGAAAACCGCAAGAATTAGTGGTGCACTGCTAATACTCGCAAATCTCTATCCAATCAGAAGCACGTTGTTTATCAATACTGGTTGAGATATCCAACTGGTCTATTACTTGTTATGCAGTGTTCCAGCGACCTCCGTATAAAAAGCCACATATGTCCGTTTAACAACACTGTGACGTGGCGGATGTGGGTCGCCACTAAACAAAGTCAGTGCCCTTTGCTTCACTCTGGTCGAGCATTTCATTCCAGCAACTTAGTGCTGAAATTATGGGAGCATTGGGCCCCAGTTTGGCAAACAAACAAACAGAAGGCGTATGAACGGGACAATCAGTCACCGGCTCCCAATGGGTGCGATTCCCTGAATTCACTCCGCTGCCTCGCGGCCAGGCCATTCGGCCCAAGGCTCGGGGTGGTGTTCCCTAGGTCAGCACCCTATTCGGTTTGGGAAACCGGGTAGCACCTCGCCCTCTGACAAAACCATGGACTCCTCCGTGTTGTGTTTTTCTAACGATATATATATATATATATATATATATATATATATATATATGGATTTTGTCTAACGGTGATACCGCACTTTTATAGTTTCTCTTTTTTACTTGCATGTTTGTTTGCAAATGAAATATGTCTTCATTCACAGCAGTGGATATGGATATGGATGACTAGCTGACTTGCTCGTCTGCAGATACGTAAAAGACATAATAAACGCACGACCTGGCAAACGCAGGTGGCCTAGCTTCGACAGACAGTTCGGTGCGTTTCTAGAGGTCTGTCATCAAACACAAACCGGCGGATATTAGTGTTACCAGTGTGGTGCTTCTATCAAAACCCCCCAATCTTAACGCCCACACAGTGAGGTGGACAGGACTTTCATCTATGGTACATTGTGTAGCCTAACCTTGAGCACTAGCATGACATCGCGCTGCCTCCATAAATAGTAAAGAATTCGAAGACCTCCGGGACATCATCAGACCGCGCGTCAGTCTCGTTGACGACCTCCAGCTTAGGTAAGCGAAACAAATGGATGTGGACATCCATGATCATAGTTTGCCAGTCAAACGAACGTTGCGCTGCGAGGGACATGCTAACGCATGCACCGTCAATCGTTAGCTTACTGCACAGCACGCGGCCGGACTGAGTGAGAGACTTCTCGTCAACAAATAAAAACGGTGGTTTAAATGAAATAAAGCATCACAAATAGAAGATAAGGAAACCAGATTTGGCAGATCCCATCTACCGTATGAAGCCCATGTAGCGGCTTGCAGCGAAACAACCTGTGATTAAACAAGTCGCGGTATATCTCAAAATAGCCATGAATTTTACCGGTACGAACTTAAACAGTGGCCACTGCCGCAAGATGCGATGTACAGATTTCACGGTACTTGAAAAATATTACAGAGTACATGAGTTTTGCTGTTTGTGCACCTTGTATTGGGTGCTTAGTATCCATCCAATCGGTCCTCATGAGACCCGATTAGAAGTGGAAATACCGCGGATAAAAGGTCTTGGATGCATTGACGAGAATACTAAGGGGGACTTACCTGAAAACCTTAATGTCCTAAGCAAACATTCAGGGTCAAGGCGCCCCTTCACCTTGTGTTAACCACATACCGTCACAAACAGCTGGCTATTGTGCAAAGATAAGGCGGCATCGGCGAGACAGTTTCCTTGCGACTTTCACTGCCACGCGTCATAATCAGCAATTACCCCGCAGATAACTCAGCACCTAACACACTTTAAACAGGCAATCCGATTAGGAGACGGCAGCAGACGCGCCACTAGTGTCGGTTGCGAGCCATGTCCTGTAAAGTCTCGAGCCAAGCACAAGGCGAGTCACGTGGACTCCAGCCCGGAAGGCGAGACGGACCTATGGCACCCAGTTTGGTCGTCAATGACTTCATTCCCCGCTGCTAGGTCAACTTCTGTCCACCTCGAGCTTTGCGCCACCCTACACCTAGTAGACTGAACAAGGCCCTCCTAGGTAAGCGGTGACCAGGCGTACGTAACACGTGCGCGAGACAGCGCAACTTATTCAGTGCTATCTGTTGTTCTAGGGAGCTAGCATGTTTATCACTACCTAGTACTCGCCTACGCACATGATCGTTGCGGACACGCTGGTGCCATCCGACACCAGCAATGTTTCGCAGACAACGAAGATCAAGACGTGAAGGCGCCTCAGATCTTCAGACCGAAGGGGCCAAGTCTCACTCCCATAAAGCGGGACGGCCCTCACTGTGGACTTGTATACATGGCCTTTCAGATGGAGGGAAATTCCCTTCTGTCGCCAAAGATGCCGCAGGTTCAAGAAGGCGGCTCTGGCCTTTGCAATGCGTGAGCTGACGTCAGTTTCTATTCGCCATCGTTGCTGATGCAGCTGCCAAGATAAGTGAATTGATCAACTCCCTCGAGTTCCTCGTTAGCAAGGGCCAAGGGGTTATCAAGTGGCTGGTGGTCTTGCAGGAACACATTGCACTTTTGAGGTGCAAAGCACTACCAAATAATGGGCCCACTCTAGACAGGCTATTCAGGGTTGATTGTGCCGCCGCAACATCGTCGAAAAGCAAGACGATATCGTCCGCATAATCAAGATCAACTAATCTTTCATCAGGCAACACTTCAACGCCTACATCGTGAGATTCCACAAGTGAACACACCATGATAGAATCCACGACGAAATTGATTAGAAATCGGACAACCCTGACGAACGCCACTTGTTGTCGGAAAGCTATCCGATAGGCCACCGTGGACCCTGACGCGGCCTGTATTATTCGAGTATAGAGGGCGTAGGATGTTCACATATTTCGTGGGAACACCTTTCCGCGCAAGTATTTCGAACAGAATCGATCGATCGACTGAATCGAACACACTCTTGAAATCGAGGAACACAGCTATTGTCGGTCTGCGGTATGCGTTACGTATATATAGTCTATACAGCCACGCCCTGGGCGGAAATCTGCCTGCTCTTCCCTAATCCGAGATTCCCGTTCCACAGTGAGGCGACAGACGAGAATCGAGGCCAGTAATTTTGTCACAACTGGCGTTAGGCTAATAACCTTGTGGTTAGAACAGTCTGTGCGACTGCCCTTATTGTATATTGCCACTATAATCGATTCGCTCCAGTTAGCCGGGACACTCTTCCTTCAAGATACGATCGAATATGGAGGTCAGTGCTTTGCAGAGAACCTCACTTCCATCCTTAAATAGTGCAGGTGGGAGGGAATCCGGGCCAGCAGCAGGAAAACGATTGAGGGCTGTGATCGCGTTTCGGAACTCTGACTCTGACGGAGGCTGTAAACTAACCGTCCATGGCTCGTCCTGCATCACCTGAGTAGGAAGAGGTCCGGGAGCAGGGGGCCAGCTGAACTGATCTTGAAAGTGTTCCGCCCAACGAGCCATACGGCACTCCTTACTGTGTATCAGTGCACCCACGCTGTCTGATTGTCTCACTGACGCCTGGTTTTCTAGGACCAGTGGTTCGGATCAGCTGGAAGAGCTTGCGGTAATTGCCTACAGCTCCTGCCTCCTCCATTTCTTGAGCCCGGATGCTCTACCAGGCTTCCTTGTCGGTACTTAGGCTCTACTTCAGTATGTCCCTAGCGGCCCGTCTGGTCACATTGTGTTCAAAGCCAGCCGGGAGCTTTTCCTCTAGATTCCAACAGGTTCACCGACCTCTGGGATATCCTGTGACTGGTGCCGTGACGATGGATAGTGCCACAGGCAGATGCTCCTGCGTCGTGCGTGGCGGCCGAGATCCTATTCCACTGAAGCTCATTAGGACAAGACAGCGAAAGTTCGGTACGCAGTGCGTCTTGATAGGCTTGCTTGATCGAGGGCTGAGACAATTTCTCAGTTGCCAATAGGAGACGCTTGGTGCGCCTCCCGGTAAAGTTCATGGAGAAACGACAGCGTACTAAGACATGGTCAGAGTCGACGCAGGTATTCCAGTACGAGCTGCAATTCAGGATGGAACCACTCCATCTGTAACTTATGACTCTGTGGCCAATTTGGGTCCATCGCTGGCCAGCTACAGGGGACCCAAGTGGCATTTCGGCACGCACTGTGTCTGAAGGCACCGATGGTCAAACGCGGCCAAGCGTGTAATATCTTCGCTGCAAACTGGCCATGTCTCTGACCCATACAGTGAGACCGGTTTGACTACAGCGTTAAACAACCAACCTTACACTCAGGCTTATATCCGTCGTGTCCATAGCTGGTTGACTCTCTGGGAAGCCAAACGGGCGAAATAACCACTTCAGAGATGCGAGTACCAACGGTGACCCGGCTACCAAGATAAGTGAACCTACCCACCACTTCCATTTGCTGTTCGGTGATAGCTAGAACTGGAGGTGCAAAGTACATGCCAAAGCGTGCAGCGCTACGCACAAGTTTGTGCAATGATGACTATGCTCTGGTGCGCGCACGCTTGGCGCTCACTCTTCCTGCTGTAATGAACCGCCTGACTTCTAAGCGTCTCACTTGTAACTTGATCTCGCAATCCTCATCTCAAGAATATCATGACGAAATGGCGCATAAGCCGTCAGTG